AACTCTTGAACATCTTGAATTATTAGCTTAGAAAATTAATTTTTTATGAGATCATGGTATTTTAGTTTATTTCACAACAGAGTGAGAAAAATTTCCTGGGTCCTGCCCAGCTAGAATTCCTCTTGTTAAGGATTTTTGTTCATTCCAGTCCTAGGAAGGAGTTAAATTTTTAATGGTAAAAATAGTTGCCACACTGAGAGTGTTGTCACTTAGCAGATTAATCCAAAAGATCTTAAACCATTTTATAAAGCWGTTTAAGATGCTGTTCTTCACATATGAGAAAATTAAAACTGCTGTTTAGAGGWTGATGGGTTCCACTGGGGATTCTCCAGTGGAGGTGTCGACAGGTTGCTGGTGATCCTGAGTTATTAAAAAAAATAAACCCAATATGAAGAGTGTTTTGTTGTTTTTTGGTTTTTTGCTTGTTTTTTTTTAAAGTATGGATGAAAATGAGCATAATTTGGTGTTACTGTTTATTGGGCAAAGGTGTCCATGGGGCATGCTGAGGTGTTTCCAAGGAGTAGCTTATTTAGGTGCTGTATGCCTGTAAGTCATTTATGCTACCATTTCTTTATTTTACCAAATTCAGCAGTTCAGATCCCTGGGTCTTGTTCTTGTCAATCAAATGAGTGCCTTAGGGAGAAAAAAACAGCCATGAAAAGTAAAAAACAAACCATGTTCTTTCCATTGTCTTGTCGGTCTTTCAGATTTCAAGGTTTCTCCTGCACTTTGCAGTGTCCTGTTCTTGAAAAAAAATAAAAAAGAGAATGAGAGTTTTCATGTAAACCCATGACCTAAGAGGAGTGGCTTTCAGAAGAACTGCTAGGAAACTCRATAAAATCCCATGAGCTGCTAATGTGATAATAGCATCTCATATTCACTGAATGGAGTGCCCGTGCCTCAGTGCTGTCATGGGACTGCSAATGTGCTTTTAATCTCTTATTTCTCTGGAGAGGCAGATAAATCTGAGCCCATTATGTGCTGAGGCTGAGGCAGGGCACAGAGATTTATGGGGTTGCAGGGAGGAAAGCTGCTGTCCTGGCTCTCAGTAAGGCTGGAGGGGATGTGGTGATGTGGGATGTGCGTTACTCCAGAATTTCTTGCTGTTCTTGGGGTGGCTTTGGTGGTGCAAGGGAAAAAGAAAAGGTGGAATTGAGCAGCTGATGGGGAAAACTAGTTGTCCACTGATAAATGCTGATGGTCATCAGGCACTGACCAGCTGGCAGCAGCCCCTGCTCCTCAGGTGATGCCCTGGTGCTCAAGTTGGGAGCAGTTTGGTCCCGGAGTCTCCAGGAACAACTTGGGAAAATGAGGTCAAGGAGTAAAAGTGGAAAAATGGCAGTGGGTCAAAAGGGGAGAGAGGAATGGGAATCAGAGAGGTTGTGGGCAAGGTGAATTGAGTAGAGAAAAGTGGGAGGAATTTGAGGGATATTGGATATGATCCCTTTTTTTTTTTGGTGGAATTCTGCCCTCTGGGAGGGCAGCTCAGTTTTACTACCTGAATCTCAATGTGGAAAGGTTCTTTTTCTTTCTAATTTAAGAATTTGCTGTAATATTTGCCAAACTAGAAGGTGCAAAAGCATAACAAAAAAAGAAAAAACAAAAAGAAACCCCAA